TTGCTGTCAGCTTCTTCAAAACAGATTCCAGATGATTTACAAGAGCCAGGAAAAATTGTTGCAAGTTTGTACTGACGGATGTTAATCAAACTAATCAGATGTCTAGAACTTGGCAACAATTCAAACAGTCAGTGAATTAAAGCTAGTTCCGAATAAAAATTTTTCCTGTAATCAAAAGCGATAAACATTTATACATATACAGTGCGGAGTGACTGAGTTTTGACTTTTAGAATTTTTCCGCATTGGTCTGTACTGGTTTTACTCTCGCTTAAAATAACTATAGTAGAAAAACTATTTGTTTGTACATTTTTACATTATTGAACTATTTGTTTGTACATTGTACATGTTTGTACAAACTATTTGTTTGTTTATACATATACAGTGTGGAGTGACTGAGTTTTGATTTTTAGAATTTTTCCGCATTGGTCTGTATGTTTTACTCTCGCTTAAAATAACTATAGTAGAAAAACTATTTGTTTGTGATGCAATTTGATAACTCCTCAGTATCAATAGTCAAAGAGAAAATGATGCATATCAAACTTTGGTTCGGATTTTGGCTGGACAATAAGTCAAGCTTCAGCTCATTTTATGTTCTAATCTATTGTTTGAAGGAAAGGGTTTCCATTGTTCGCAAGACAAAGGTTTTTCTGACAAAAAAAACTTATGCAAGTCACTACCACATATCTTTTATTTCAATGAGTCGAGAAACTTGCGTTTCATATAATGCCTTCTGTGGTATATCGTTCCGTGGCGGAAAACTTCAGAGGTTTGTTATCAGATGTAGGCGGGAGAAAACCTTGTAAATAAAGATCATCACGTTCAAGTACAAATATTAGTTGAGTGACTAGGAGGCGAAACTTGACATAGGAATAGAAAATAGGGTAATTTGGCTTGTGCAACCAGAGAAAGATTTGAATCGCAGCGTTGAAATTTGATGAATTTTGCAACCGGAAATTTGATAAACGCAGGATTCTATTTAAAACTGGTTTTGTAGAACGCCCGAGGTATGCGTTTATTATTCTGCGGAGTTGGATGGTTACCATCATTCTGGATTTCTCCGTGACTCAAGCTAAGTCACAAAGTGACTTAGTCCTTTTCTGTTGACTTTGCCGCGGTACTCACGGTAGTGCCCGTATTTTATGTAGCGACTTTAGTATTTCCAATTTGTCATGGCATCAACTTGTTCAAAAGTTGTAATCTCCATAACTCTCCATGTTAAGTAAACAATGAACAGCACTTAACAGCGAGTTTGCTGAAAACCGCAAGGCCTTCAGTTCATTCTCTCTGAACCGCAAAACCGGCCAGAATTTAGGCTCCATGAAGCTTCTTGTTTCCTTCTACACTACATGCAAAATCGGACCTAATCAATTAACTCGTCCGCACCAACCAATTTCGTCACCTCATAAAGTACAATAACTTTATGACAAAATGAAAATAGCAAACTCTTAAATCTTCCGCTCTCATAGCCTCACAGCTCGTGTAAACATTTCCCTTCATGAAAAGGGGACAGGAAAAGGAAGCTAAATATCCAAAGGAAAGTATTTGGGGTTTTCATAATGATTGCAGCGCCACAAAATTTAAAATGTGCTACATGAGAAAAACGGGATGATTATTCATCGCAGTGGCACATAAAGTTCCCTTCGGCAAGATAGTATTCTAACATAACAACTATGCAAAGGAATGTCAAACATTTTTCTTTTAATTATCAACAAGGAAATAATTGAAGTATTCCACGAACACGAACCAACGCTTTGTAGGGAGCAACAGAGGTTTTGCGCTCACATTTTTCCACACTGGATATTTTCAATCTCGCTCAGAAACACTTCAGTCATCAAAACTTTTAGTTTGTGTTACAGTTTTAATCAGTCCTCGGGGTTTGTTACAATCAGTTAGAGTTACGAAAGCATACATCCGCGTGATTTTTTTCCTAGTTAGAGCATTTTTATATTGCCAGTTCAACATTTTTTCCCTAATAGTATCATAGTGCCACTCAAAACACACTCATATTCACTCAAAGTAAAATCGATTAGTAACAATTCTGACCTTGGAACAATTGCATGTCTCACACTTAACTGCACTTTAATATCTTTTTAAACAGGTGTAGGATACTCTAGTGGACTAATGGAGGGTAACCACGAAATTCAAAAATATATGCACTTATGTTCAATTTAACATACAACACATTAACTTATGTTCGGGTTTCAACAAAAGTTCACTTGTCTTACGCTTCACAGCAGTAATGGTAACCTTTTGAACATGTACGCGCGGTATATATTATTCTAGGAGTAAATGACCATAAAAACACCCTTAGGAAAACACACTCATGTCTGTTGAAACGCGAACATAAGTTAATGTGTTATATGTTAAAGTGAACATAAGTGCATATATATTTTTTTTAATTTCCGTGGTTACCTCTCATTAGTTCACTAGAATATACTGAAAATTGATCGACATTAGTTAAAAGACTAAAATTGACTTGTCTCATACTTGAAATGGGGTTTGTTGCTTCTCAAACTAGCACAGCATATAATGATTAAGGCGTTAATGACACATTCAGAGACCGAAAAAATTGATCGACTTTAGTGAACAGAAAAATGTTTGCTTTTGTTGTACTTAATGCAGTATATTAATTGATTCTCAAAAAACTTATTGTCTACTGCTCAACGATTAAATGAAAAAGATAAGAAATTTCATAACACACTTATGTCTATTCAGAGAAAACTTAAGCACTCACAGTTCTTACTAAGGTTCGTTTGTGTCACACTTTTAAACAGGCGCCGATTCAGCCCGACTCAGGATGACGGTTAATGCATGAAATACTCTAATGTTTCCTCAGGTGGTGTTTTACCGTATGTGATCGCAGTGTCATAGCTGAAGAGGTTCTCCTTCTTTCCAAAGCCCATTTGAAACTGCCAAACGTACAGCTTGGTGTTCGGTGGAATTTTCAGCTTAACGTTTTCGTCTTCTTCAGTGGTGTCACTCCACTCGAACTGCTCTGTGTTGACCAACTTTCCCCCAAACCTCTCTTTGAGGCTATACTGAACTTTACAGAGGGCTTCAATCAATTCTGAAACTTGGGCTTTGATTCCTACTTCTTCGCTTATTCCCATCTCGATGGACCATTCCAACTCTATGGAGGACATTGTGCTCCTGTCAAATCCAACGGTTTTCTTGATGGGTTTTCCCCATTCAATGGCAGTGTCGGAGTCGTTTTGAAGACATTTTACATCTTTCCAATACCCGAACACTTTTCCATGGGTGTGCGCTATACCACCAGGGATAAACTTGAGCACTAACTTGTGAACGCTGAAGTCGCCGCAATATTTGTTCAAGTTCATGTTGGTGCTTCTGTGATAAGTGACACCCCTTTCTCCAGCCTGCTTCAGACAGTAGACGTAATTATTGTTACCCCAGAAATAGATGCCATCTTGGAACGCTTGATGGATTTTATACTCAACGGCGTCTTCGTCTTTGTTCATGTTACTCACTCGTCTGTAGGTGCCTCTGTTGGCAAACACGATGTACCAATAACCAAAGGCAGAGTAGTAGCCGCTTCCTCCGCGACAGTTGCGATGAAGAGAGTAAACCACAGCGTCCTCGTCTTTACTCAGGTCGGTGACTCTGCGATACTCATCTCCCTTAATGATGTAGAAATGAGAGTCAGTGGCCAAGTAGTGATCGCCCCATCTACAGGCCTCACTTAGACGGTGAATCTTGATATCTTGACCAGCGTGAATATCTTTGCACCTCATGTAGACACCCACATCAGATCGGATAATATAGCAGCTGTTTTTATCACCACAAAAGTCTGTTCCTTTAGCCTCAGATGCAATCTTCGGCACGATCTCCGGATAATCTGAAGCGGCAGACATATTGTTGACTTGGTGGTTGCAGCTGATATAAGCTTTTTCCTTGAGTATCTGCTAAGAAGGCAATCCAAAGGGAAAAGATCGGGTTCCTAGTTACGTGCAAAGAAACAATTAAAATGGCGCAAGACCCTCTCTTTTGTAGAGACTGCCTCACATATGACCTTTACATTTTTCCAGCACTGAACTGTTTCACTCTCGCTAGGAATCACCACATTCAAAACACGGTTTGTTTGCAATACTCTTTAATCATTCCTCAATATCTTTTACAACGATTCATCGACATAAAACATGCCTCAATAACCGTGTTAAAAAGATGACTACTTAACGATACATCGCTAACGTAAAACAATCGCCTTTGTCATGATGATATCACATCCATTAACTTGTAGCCGTCTGTTGGCGTCTAAAACTACCTTGAAAGTCGGCATATGAAATCATTCCTGTCAATTGAAAGAGTCTAGCACACTCCGCTTACACTTTTTTTACTATTAGCTTCTTCGAAACAGATTTCAGATGATTTACAAATAAAAGTTTGTCGTGTAATCAAAAGCGATAAACATTTATACATATACAGAGTGGACTGACTGAGTTTTTACTTTTACAATTTTTCCGCACTGGTCTGTATATTGTGTAAGCATGATTTAGGGGCTAGACTCTTCTCCTGGTCAAAGCCCAGTTCATACTGCCAAATTTGATCCTCCGGAGGGGCGTGATTTGCATCTTAATCAAGAATTGGATTTCTCTGCGTTTATATTTCATTCTAGCTGCCAATTCTAGACTTCATTGAATGCTGCATTTCAATCAACGCGATGGAAACCCGCCGATTTAGCTTCTGAAAAAAGCGAAGAGAATAAGTCTCTTTCTGTTGCTAAGTCAAACCAAGTCAAACTCTTACAAAGATAATGAATATCTATCTCTCTTATTCTATCTCTCTCTCGTGTTTCAAATGTTACCCTCAAATCAGCCAATGATCCTCTGCTAAGATTAAAAATGGTATAGATCTTTCGGTCGAAACTGGCGCAATAAATTATCGATTGGCTTACTCAACTTCATGCTGTGAATTTTTTAATGAGTAAAATTTTGTTATGTAAGGGATTTCTCCCCAAAATTCGTCCTCCTTTTGCGAGTGCGTCTTAGCAGCTTCTTCTGCGTACCACATTAGTCCAACTTAGACCGCGTGCGTCGGACACAATAATGAATTATAGCAGCGAATTCATGAATCACTGAAGAGGCTGTTTCTTGGCTCCAGTCGCATGGAACGAGACTTAAGAAAGGATAGGTAAGCAAAAGAAATTTGCTTAACAACACGTTTTGCAACTTTACATATACAAACTTGACCGCTCCATTGATCTTTGTTCGTATCTTACATTGCAGAGAAGGATGTGAGACGTGAGGTGGCTCTCCCATACGCCCGGTGGCTTCCTGGGTCTCTTCGCCTTCTAGCTATAACCGCTGTAAATTTTTTTTTGTATTCTGTAAATAAGGCTAATAAAATATGATGACGATTGTTGCGATGGCCAAGATCTCCTTGCCATTGCCCAGGATGCAGACGAAGCAAGGTTGCTTCCCTGTTATAAAAGAGCGTCTAAAGTTTAAGAAATTGATTGCAATGAACGCTGAACCTGGAGATGACACAAGTTCTTCGTCTGTACGATAATTACAGATAATTTGACGCATGGTTCGCCTTTTCTCCTGAGCCTTATTGAGTCTCAGCGGTTTCACAACTCAGGTCATGGGTTCTAATTATGGCGCCGAGAGCTAGAGACGCTCTAGTTTGAATACTGCGTTTGCACAGGATGGACTTTACTTATTTCAAGATTCTCTGATTTTAGTGTCTCTCACTCTGAATTCTTAATCTTTTTCTTGAAAAGATTAACTGATATTTTTATGTCTATGTCTTTGTTTGTATTCGCTTAAACTGATTTTTTTGGCTCTTTCTCTTCAGCGTGTAGAATCAAGTCCTTCGAGTAACACGTTTCAAACGTCGATTGATGATTCAGAAAACATCAGCGATTATGAAAATTTAGAAGTGACATCGGCCAAGGATCTGTTTTACGGACGAGGCGACAGAACTGAGCATTGCCTAAGTAAGTGTTTATAGATTAAACTTAGCGGGACGGTGAAGAGTACATTATCGATTACTTTCTTCGGTTTTATCCCAAAGGAAAACACACAAGGTGCCAGTTGGTCAGTTAAAGAGGAGAAATGTCGGGGAAAGCACCCAACAAAAATGGTGAGATTTGCTATATTTTTATTAAAATATATTAGATATGTATTTACTTGCGCTATGCACAAAGCAAAGTAAACCCAAAGTTTAAATCTGGTAAATTAAAAAATTAGTGAATTGATAGGATGTTATCACAGTTTAATTTTCTTGAAAACAAATGTTTACCTATAGGTTCCTCCTAGATGGCTTTCAAAATTCCAAGCTCGTCTAAATCGGAGCTCGTCTAAATCCAAGATGGCGTCCAGTCATTGATAGAGATGCATGTGCTGCGTTTTGGAAACGAACTTAACGAGGAAGTTTGCCGCGGATTTATTTTACAAATCTTTTTAATTCACTAAATCTTTAGGTAAGGTTATGATGAAACATTCTAGTCGCCAATCTGGCGACTAATTTTCAGGATTTGGTCGCCAAAGTGAAAAATTTAGTCGCATTGGCGCTTGTATTAGGCGCAATTTCACGCCCTGATTTTTATATGGAAACTTTGTAGTTGCAAAAAATTGTTGTTCTCCAACAACAAATTAATTTTCTCATTTGTTTACTTTTTGTACAGTTCGCTGCCTCAGTAGAGTTGGATATCCAGGAGGGATACCTCACCAGCAACCCAAAGCACTCTGAGCTGCAGTGGATTGCAAAAAAAATTATTGCAGAGTATCCTTGTATGGCTGGCAGGATACTAGTTGACGTGGAAACGGAATGGATTGGTGAAGTTTAAAAATCTATTGCTTTTCCTCTTCTGCTTGTAGTGAAAAGAGACAATTTTGTGCTGCTGAATCTCTCTGACCTTTTAAGTTCATGACCTTTGTTCTTGTGTGTTTGCTATCACATATGCATTTAATGAAGTTGTGACCATTTTGGAGGTACAAGTCCAAAAAACTGCTACTTTGGTACGAAAATGAACAGCTAAAATTGCTGAGCCTATTTGCTTATGAAGTCCAGATACAAAGGTTCAAGTACCTTGGGGTTGTATTTGATTTTGCCATCCTTTTGCTCAGTTTTTTCATTCAGCAACTTTTTTAAAATTTCCTGTTGTCAAACCATTAGATAAATATGGCACATGGAATAGCTGATTCTCTTCAGATATTTTGGGAGTCATGCAATTTTTTTCCCCAAGCCTTGAAGGGGAGACAAATTACAAGTATTAAGTCAAATTTCCACTTCCATTTGAGTGTTTTGGCTTATAGTTTTAGAAAAATATCATATATATATATAAGCTTAGTAAATAAAATGAAATGAGGGGAAACTGACCAACTACAAATGGCAAACTAGCAGGCAATTTTTACAGGCTACGGGCACTTTTTGCACTTTGGCTTGTTTTTAATGTGGTTGTAAAATTTGTTTTTATTGCATAGAGTAGCTAATGTTGATTCAGCAATCAGAGGTTATGTCCAACACAAATTTTCATTGTTGGAGATCTTTAATACATTGATCTCCTGTATATAGTAACAGAGGGAAGTGTAATTTGTCACCTCCCACAAGATAGAATTCTTGATGCTCTCATTGGGTTACTTGGCTCATTTTATATTTTCAATGTTTCTTATAATCAGTCAAAGGCAATTTTGACTTTTTTAGAGCAAGCATTGCTTGAAATTAGACACAGGTAGAGTCTTGTCACTGTTTCCTCCGTTTTCAATGTCTTGGCAAATGCCTGAGGTAGTACTTGCTGAAAGTTTATATTTTGATGATATCTAAAGTAGCAATATGAGTACATGTATTCTGACATCCACTGGAAGAATACTCTATGCTGCTCAAAGGTTCTTTGTTTTTCAGATGCACAAAACAAACAATATCTATATTCTTGTGTAGAAACCGGACCATTTGTTGTCTTTGTGTTATTTTGATAATTTTCTGCACTCTTAATCAGTCTTGATTATAAGCTGTCTTACATTGTCACATTTAGAAAGCTTTACTCACATGTGTCTCTTGGGTGTAATTTCCAGCAATGATTGCACTGGAAAATCACGCATGGAGAGGAAAGAGCCCTCTTCTTCTGAACTGGCTTCACATTGGAACTGAATTGGCTATTTTTTTAAGGGGTCATTAGTGAGAGGGCTGAAATTTTGGAGCCATTTTAGCCCCTTTAAATTCCAAAGTGGCTCCAGTACTTTCCAATTTGGCCCTCACAATTGGGTCAATTTAGCCCCAAAAATTGGTGCCAAAAACAGCCCCATTTCAATGGGGCCGAATTGACCCCAAGCCAATACCAAACTGGACCCGCTCGCTTTGGCCCCATTTTTTGGGCCAAATCCACTCTTTTCATTTTACAGTGTGCTTGGAGGGTTTGCCCCTTCTACTTTAAGAAAATATAAATAAAATTCAACAGACCCAATGTACCTCGTTGATCTGTTACCTTTGTAGAGATCACAAAGGACAATTTTTTTCGGCTATCTAAGGGCTTCTTAAAAGATGAAGTGATCTTGCTTTTTTTTAAATTGTTCGCATATATGGAATCGATGAATATACAATAAAAAATATCACAGTAATAGATAAAAATAAGCCTATTGATGATTGAATATTTGAAGAAAGAAAGATATTTTGTCCAGCGGTAATGCCCCACACGCCATTTCAGTCCCCTCTCGGTCTTACTGAATAGCTTAAAGCTGACTGCTCACTTAAAACATATAATTTGCAAGAAAATGACAAAGGATACAGCAAGTTATTATAATTTGCTGCCTATGTACCAACTATAAATATCTTCCACTGTTACTAGACCATATGACGTTCTTTTGGTTTCTTTAGAAGGTATCTAAGTATTCCTGTGCTGTGCTTGAAACATGCATGACATACATGACAAAGAATGGAGTGTATTAACTCGCCAAGTGCACCTTTGTTCTCACTTAGTCTGTTTCAGTCGAGTCAGGGAAAACAAAAAGCAATAAATAATTGCGTCAGGTAAGTTATTCCCACACTCTGCATTGTGACCGTGAGAAGTCTATGGCCAGGCATAAGATTATCGTATCTGTCTCGTGTCTATCGAGAGAATGTTTTGTCTCATCACAATTTTTTTTTCCAACTGAATACAAAGTATATAGTGGGTACGCCTACTCTCGCTCTCTAAAATGCATTATCATGGAAACTGCGGTGTTATACAAGGATTTCCGGCCCTGAGAAAAGCCGTAACAACACACGTGAAAAAATATGTTATTTTTTACACGTGTGTTGACATAGCCAATCAGCTTCTTACACGCCACTTGCCTTTAGCGCCACTCGGTCAGGTTTATGAATGAACAGCATGATTCAACGCATTTTTCCATCTTGAGAGTCAGCGTCAACGTACTCTACGATTGTTATTCGAGGATTGTCGATTCATCTATTTTCATTCCTTAATGAAGTCGGCTTTTCTTCTCAGTTAAGGGACTCTTGTGTTTATATGATAAACAAAATAATACATGGTTGCTTGAAGATATGGAATTTCTCTTCTCGTGTTCAACTCGACATCTCACTCGTTCGCTGCGTTCACTCGTGAGCTATCGAGTTACACACAGAAATTCCATATCTACGCGCGCCCATGTATTATTCTCTATTTATTTGATGAAAAATCACTATTACACGAAAAAAGGATTACTGGGCCAAGATCTCCCAACCATTTGGTTTGCAAAAACTTTAGCTCTGGATGAAATGCCACGTGATCGGGCAAACGTGTGTGGTAAATCGTCCGGAAAGTCTCCAATTGTTTCAGTCAAAATTCCCGAATCCGAGAAACATCTAACGCCCTTTCCACGGCTCAAAGCAACCAAAAATTCAAATATTGTCTAACAGTACAGACGCCCATTGCAATACAGGTAAACTTTTGTCTAACTTTGGTTAGATATTCTTACCTTTCCAACTTAAATAGCGTCCAAACTTCTGACAGATGTTCTCCCTCAAAGAGAAACAAGTCAATGCTCAATCTGTAAAACTAAAAATAGAAAGTCAAAATAGAGAGTCAGCGTCAACGCACTCTACGATTGTTATTCGAGGATTGTCGATTCATTTATTTTCATTCCTTAATGAAGTCGGCTTTTCTTCTCAGTAAAGGGCTCTTGTGTTTATATGATAAACAGAATAATACATGGTTGCTTGAAGATATGGAATTTCTCTTCTCGTGTTCAACTCGACATCTCACTCGTTCGCTGCGTTCACTCGTGAGCTATCGAGTTACACACGGAAATTCCATATCTACGCGCGCCCATGTATTATTCTCTATTTATTTGATGAAAAATCACTATTACACGAAAAAAGGATTACTGGGCCAAGATCTCCCAACCATTTGGTTTGCAAAAACTTTAGCTCTGGATGAAATACCACGTGATCGGGCAAACGTGTGTGGTAAATCGTCCGGAAAGTCTCCAATTGTTTCAGTCAAAATTCCCGAATCCGAGAAACATCTAACGCCCTTTCCACGGCTCAAAGCAACCAAAAATTCAAGTATTGCCTAACAGTACAGACGCCCATTGCAATACAGGTAAACTTTTGCCTAACTTTGGTTAGATATTCTTACCTTTCCAACTTAAAAAGCGTCCAAACTTCTGACAGATGTTCTCCCTCAAAGAGAAACAAGTCAATGCTCAATCTGTAAAACTAAAAATAGAAAGTCAGGCCATTATAATATTTCCGGTGTTATCTCAATTGTTGTTAGGGTTAGGGTTTAGGGTTAGCTTTAAAAGCGATACGCCGTAGAAGTAAGGTGAGGTATTTTAATTGAGAATTTGACGTAACGTTGTAATGTAATGTCCGCTTGAGAATGTATTTTTTATTTCTTGTAGCGGTCGTAAATATTCCGGTACAAACTCTTAAAATTCCGCCATGACCTTTATTGAGCAAGATGATCATCTCACAGCTGGAGCTTAGGCTTGTGATAATTACTGTCGCGCCACGCTGTCTGCAACTGTCGAAAATTAATACTTAAATGATTTCACTACTTCCAACTCCCGTTTATTGCTACCAACAACCGAAGTTTTACGGACAGATATAACATAATGAGAAAGTCCAGTATTATCCTGTGGATTTACGATTAGCAATTTGAGGTTCCCTCTTAATTTTAACTACGATTTGTTGATACGTTGCGTGACGGTTCAAAATCCAAATGCCTTCAAACTTCTTGCCCAAATTTTTCACATTTACTAGTCCTGTTCAAACAGAAAAGTTAATTTGTAAACGTATAGTTTACATACAGTGTTCTAAGCTGGAAGAACGAATACTTTTAACTGAAATTTGCAGTTGCCTGCTGGTTTATCGTAAACAAATTCTACTCTGCTACTAGCGACTGACTCCAATACTTCCACTGATGAATAAAAGTAGACGGCATTTACCTTTATATCCAACGCAAATATCTCACGAGTCTCTGAAGTAGTGTGTTCATGCCTGAGGCGCGTTGACTCTAACACATTTTGGCAGTTGATTGTGCAAAGGATTTGGTAACTGAGAACCCCAGATACTCAAATGCACCCAATTGTAATGAGCGACAAGCCCCAACCCGCAAACTGTTTACTGCGGTGACTCAACTCTGTCAATCACGGTTGTGCCCAAATCCTACCGGCTAAAAGTACGCCCGAGGAGCACTGATAACGAGTTTTCGAGTCGGATGATTATCGGAAATTGTCGGCTACATGTAATATGGTGGACTATTTAGGTAACGCCATCTGCAATTTACCAACAGTCAAGCGACGTGATTGAACCAGAAATGAACATTATAACATATTTTACATGTGAAGATACATTGTTGAGTTTAAATAAAGAAAATTTCGCTTAATTTTGTATGGCTGTTTCCTCCACCCTCGTCGATCTTAAGTTTCTTGTTCGGCAGAGTTTTAGCTGAACACTTTAGCTGCTAAGACCTGCGCTTGCAAAGGTAAACGAAACTTATGGATAGTATCGCCACTAAAATGCCCGTGTCATAGTTGTACTGGTTAGAAAGATCCCTAAGATGAATTTTCTATTGTCTTGTACTTCTCGCCGGTAGGATCTCAGGAGGCTTAGAAAATGCTACCGGCTAGAGGTACAGCTTGCATATTTAGTCAACTTTGCTCAATTGTTACCACGGTATGCATCACATTTTATTTTTTCTGTACTCCAAATTAGTCTAACACTCCTTTGAATGACTTTTTTCACGAATACGAATATATTTACTTATTTTTATTTGGTCTTGTACCTTTAGCTGATAAGATCTGAAGGGGCCTATAAAATACAACCGGCTAGAGGTACAGCTTGCATACTTAGTCGACTTTGCCCAATTTTTATCATGGTGTGCTCCACATTTTACTTTTCTGCACTCCAAGTTGTAGTCTTACACTGCTTGGAATTACTTTTTACAAGAGTACATTTACATTTATTTTTTTTTATTTGGTCTTGTACCTCTAGCTGGTAGGATTTTCAGAGGCTTAGAAAATACTATCAGCTAGAGGTACAGCTTGCATATTTAATCGACTTCGCCCAATTTTCATTACAGTTTGCTTTGAATTTTACTTTTCGGCATTCCATTTAGTCTTACACTACATTAGAATCATTTTTTTTTCATGAGTATCTTCTTGTTTCTTGGTCGTGTACCTCTAGCTGGTAGGATCTTGCGTGGCTCGGAAAATTCTACAGGTTAGAGGTAATTCGTGCAGGTGGATTTAGCTTATTTCATTAACTTCTTGGTTTATGGGAAAACCTTTCTACACGTCATGTTAGTCTTATACTGTTGTGGAGTCACTCAATAGGTATATTTTCATGTTTTGTCTTGTTTACCTGGCCAGTAGGATGTTGGATTACTCAGAAAACACTACTAGCCAGAGGGGCAGCTTACGTGTGTAACGTAAGCTTGAAATCATTAACAAGTTAATAAATTTTAAACTAGCCTGATTTGTATTTTGTTTGGTTGTGGATTTATATCAATACAAATATAACCAGTTTTAGATGAATTTGCCCCAAAATTTATTTTAGACTTGAACATGTCAACCAGATTTACTGAAGTTTGTCATGTAATACTCTGCCTCAATGTGACTAGAATTTCCTAGAAAGGAACAGTCTCTATTTCTATGATATTTGTTTTTGATTAGAAGTATTGATGACCAGGCCAACCATTGTCTGAAATACTTAAATCAACTCATCTTTAGGTAGTCATAGGATAACATGATTTTAATTCACCAAATTGACATTTTCCCTTTGTATTTTCAATGATATTTAACAGCATGTACGCAAGTTATTCTTGAAATCAGAATGGTCATCAACTATATATACAGAATTTATACAATTATATAAATGAGATTTACCTGTGCCTACGTTATTTACTGTATTTTTTTTTGTTAAAATCGCTGTTATTGAAAAGAAATCAAACCTTTCTTATTTGAATACCAACCAGAAACCCTTTGCTTATTTCCAAATAATGCCTTCTTTAGTTTCAGCTGATTCCTATGATTGCTGTGCTATCAAATAAGCAGTGGTGGATACATGACCAAACAAGAAGGTGTTCTTCGAAAAAATGATTGCAATGTAGTATCAAACTAAAATGGAATGCCAAAAAGTAAAATACAAAGTAGAGTGTAATAAATATTGGGCAAAGTCAATGAAATATTCAAGCTGTACTTCAAGTAAGCCTCCTAAGATCCTACCAGCTGGAGGTTATAGACTAAATAAGAGAGAACAAAATGTAAATGTATTAATGAAAAAAGTGATTCTAAGGAGTGTAAGACTCATTGGTAGTACAGAAAAGTAAAATGAGCAAACAGCAGTAAAAATAGGGCAAAGTTGACTAAATATGCAAACTGTACCTCTAACTGGTAGTCTTTTCTAAGCCTCCTGAGATCCAACCAGGTAGAAGTACAAAACCAAGTAAGAGAAAAAAAATTCAAATGTATTTTAAAAAAAAAAAAGATTTCATAGAGTGTAAGACTACAACTTGGATTAAATAAAAGTAAAATGTAGAGCAAACCATGATAAAAATTGGGCTTAGTCCCCTAAGTGTGCGTGCTGTACCTCTAGCCAGTAGTATATTCTAAGCCCCCTATGATTCTACCAGCTAGAGGTACAAGATCAAATGAAAACAAATAAAATTATACTATTCTTGAAAAAAGTGATAAAAAGGAGTGTAAGACTAATTGGAAGTGCAGAAAAGTAAAATGTGAAGCAAACCGTAATAGAAATTGGGCAAAGTCGACTAAATATGCAAGCTGTACCTCTAGCCGGTGGTAGTTTCTAGGCCTCCTAAGATCTTACCGGCTAGAGGTACAAGACAATATAGATTTCATCTTTAAGATCTTTCTAACCAGTGCGAACTTTAAAGACTTATGGAATACATTTTCTTTTATTTTTGGGCAGTTGTGTAGTCAGTTGTGCTTTCAGCATGAATGAGCTAACAAACGTCAGGAGGGAAAACCATTTTCCCTTGGTGATTACGTATGAGTTTCAAATGGCAAATCGTGATTGGGTAATGGGCTCCTCTCAGAATAAACTGGTTGGGACGATCGTTGAATAATGCATGGTGAGGGTTTTTCCAAAATCAGCGAACCAACTGAACGAGATAGCGCTTACCATTTGCAATTCGATTTTCCGTAATTGTTTTCGGCTGATGAGAGACTGGAAACTGGAAAATTTAGCAAATGGTGAGGAAATTACCGTTGTTTTCCGTTCGGAACGGAAAAAGAGAAATACCTCTAGAGGTGGTCTACAATTCCCGACCGGATTTTTCACAAAAATTCCGTGTAATTTGACTTTCAACCGAAATTTCCAGATTTTTTTGATAAATGGTAAGCACCCTTATTTTCCGAAAAATCCATTCGGAAATTGTAGACTTCCTCCAGAGGTGATCCTCTCCAGCTGGTTTAATTCACTTATCATGGAAGTTTACTGTAAACGTGCACAATTCCTTTCAATGCCACGCTCATTAGCCAACGCATCTCACAGTAGCGCTTTCAGGCGTCTTGTGTTACCGTACTCTGATTTTATTCTGGCGCATCCTGTAAAACGTACCCCCCGCTTATGAGAACATTCGAATACAGTTGACTTGTCTCACACTTCAGAGAAGTTTTGATGCCTTTGAAACATGTGCAGCATATCCTGGAAAGCACTAAGTTGAAGTTACAAAGAAATTTTCAGACTACTCTTGTGTCTGTCGTGTTAGCTCGAAGGACTGGTCGAACGAACGGAATTTTAGAATACATTCGTGTCTGGGCGAAGTAAACTCTAGCAATCACAGTTCTGACAAGAGTTTACTCGTATCACACTTAGCACACTTTAAAGAAAGGCACCAATTGACTATAAAGCTACACTCTATGCATGACTATTGTATAAAACAAAGTGATGGTTACTGAGGCTCTTCTCCATCTTGTGTAAGCATGATTTAAGGGCTAAATAGATTCTTCTCCTGGTTAAAGCCCAGTTCATACTGCCAAATTTGGTCGCTCGGTGGGGCGTGATTTGTCATTAAATCAACTTCGCAAGGCATCATGGGTAAGTTCAAGGTAGGGAAGTGCTTCAAAGTCCATGTCGATTGTTAACCTTGCCGTTTTATGACGCTTTGAAAAGATATAATTAATAAATAAAGAACACAAAATAAAGACTTAAAGCCGGAATCTGTATTTCTCATCGGCGGAAACACTTGAAAGCAAACACTTAGCGATCGAACATTATCAAGATCACAACGACTGATAAGAACAGACCAAACTAAAAGACCTCGTTGTGAAACTTGTATTAGTCACTCTTAGGCTAATGGGTATTATAAATATTATGGGCTATTGCTTGTTTTGGCGGAGAGTGGTAAGGAAGGGGAAATTCCTCCATTCAGCTATACCGTAACCTTTAAAACAATGAAGCGAGAATTGGAGAAAAATTCACAGAAGAGATTCATGGGTGTAATGTATGAAGTGGAAAGCAAAAGCCTCGCCGAGAAGAACCTTACGTGAGCAAACTTATGATTAGAAAGGCTGCTATTGCTATAGGTGATAGCAGAGTTATTGGCCTTTCCTCTCGTGATTTGTTAGCGGCTGATTCTTGGTACCACGAAGGACAATTTTTCCGCGTGTCTTAGGGCCTCTTGAAGAATAAAAAGATCTTACGTTCTTTAAATTACTCACATGTATGGAATCGATGAATATACAATAAAATATCTCAGTAGATAGATAAAAATAAGCATATTGACGATTGAATATTCGAATAAAGAAACTGAGATATCTCACCAAATATTTTGTCCAGCGGTAATGGCCCACCCGCCGTTTCAGTCCCCCCTCGGTCTTACTGAACAACTTTAAGGTGACTGCTCACTTAAAAGATTTAATGAGCAAGAAAATGATAGAGCAAGTTGCCATCATTTTTTGCCTATGTACGTTTCAGTCTCCTCTCATTGTTGTTCAATGATATGCAAGTGAATGTTTAGAGTTAGACCAATCTCTACCTTTGTCAATCACGTCAACTTCGCGCGTTACATGCTTACAAGGTTCGTGTAATATATTATTGCAATTTCCCAAAATATTATAAGTTTAAGTTTTAAGATTTAGTAAAGTAATTAGATTCCTTTGGGGGGGGGGGGGTTGCAGATTTTTGGAAGGAATTATTTCTCTCAGCGTTCGTTAAAGAACAGAGGTACCGGGGTAGGTGTCTTTTTTGTTTTACTTGATTGTCCCTCGACTTGAACTACCACTAATTTTTGTGACTGTTACGTTTCAAAATTCCCTAAAGTATTGCCTTTCACATTTCAAGAACACTGAGGTTGAAGTTCAAAGCTCTGCCAAAGAAAACTGAAATTTCCATATTTCATAGGCCCTAACCACCACAATTCTATTTTTTTTTTAAATAAATAGTCATTTGAGAAACTGGCGAGCATAAAATAACTTTAAAACACTTCCCCTGATGTTTCCTTGAGACTAGCACTCTTCTCCTGGCAATAATATCACTACGATTTCTTTGTCTCGAATCGCGAACCGTCTAAACAATTTCCTTTTCTTTTTGAAATTACGCTAGAGCAATGTATTGACGTTGTCGGCATTTCCAGATTTAGAGTTTGAACATTCGTTAAATTCATTCATCCAAATGTAAAATCGATAGAACTTACGCACATCTTGTTTGTCCGTTGTAGTTTCTGGCGATCTCTACCATTTTAAGTTTGCTCTGCCATCACTGTACGTTATTCCTGTCATAGGACGAAGTCAAGGCTGCATACTCCGATTTCGACTGTTGTCCAAGCGGAGGTGGTTTGCGCCCCGAAAATCCTCCCGATCGGCATTTTTCTCAGCCATAGTTTGCGATCTAAGATCATTGCACCCTGGGACATGCCTCAATACCAAAACTCTCCGTGCATTTCGCTGAAAACGAGCGTTTTCTACTTGTATTTCCGAGTTCGCATCTCTCTGGCTATTTTCTTGATAATCAGACGCCCGCGGAAGAGACTTGGGTAGGAGGTCAATGAATGACCATGATGAATGAATCGTTTGCTTGGGCCACCTGAGATCATACGAGTGATTAACAAATCGGGCTCTCGCTTCGCGATCGTCCGCTTTGTTAATCATTCGTATGATTACAGACCGCGTTAGCTTAAGGTGAAAAAAAAAATCTTGGTCTAAGATGGGCAGTTTTTAATTGGCGTAAAGCAACTTGGTGGACATAGCCTGGGAACGAGGTTGAGTTTTGGCACCGAGTGTATACAGGCTTGAAGTGCTGGGCCGCGCATAAAGGACAACCAAGCTTGTTACAGTTAACACTTATCTTTCGAGTAAACTTTAAAATATTTATTTAAATCACAAACCTAATACTATGAATCGCTTTAATTGTTAACGTACTGATGAAAAATAACAACCTTGCGAACAGGCTGATTGATTAATTCGATTAATTAATTCAATATCTTATGTATACATTGGCGATGGGATCGATCAGTAGATTACTTTAGCGGACGAAAGAAACCATACTTTTCTGACAAAAAAAAACTTGTGAAAGTCACTACCATGTATCTTTCATTTCAATCAGTCGAAAAACTTGCGGTCCATAAAATGCCTTCTGTGGCATATCGTTCCGAAGCGGAAAACTTCAGAGGTTTCTTATCAGATGTAAGCGGTAGAAAACCTTGTAAACAAAGATCATCGCGATAAAATGCAAATATTTATTGAGCGACTGTACGGCGGAACTTGACAAAGGAATGGAAAATAGGGGAATTTGATTCGTATAGGCAGAGAAAAATTCGAATTGCAGCGTTAAAATTTGATGAATTTTGCAACCGGAAATTTGATAAACGCAAAATTCTATTTAACACTGGTTTTGTAGAACGCCCGGGGTATGCGTTTATTATTTGTGGAGTTGGATGGTTACCTTCATTCTGGATTTCTTCGTGACTCAAGCTAAGTCACAAAGTGACTTATTCCTTTTCTGTTGACTTTGTCGCGGCACTTACGTTAGTCCCCGCATTTCGTTCAGCGATTTTAGAATTTGCAATTTGTCTTGGCATCAATTTGTTCAAAAGTCTTAATCTCCATAACTCTTCATGTTAAGTAAACAATGAAAAGCACTCAACAGTGATTTTGCTAAAAACCGCAAGGCCTTCGATTTGTTCCCTATGAACCGCAAATCCGGTCAGAATATAAGCTCCGTATAGCCTCTTGATTCCTGCTACACTACATGCAAAATCGGACTAAATCAATTAGCTCGTCCGCACCAACCAATTTCGTCTCCTCAAGAAGAGCAATAACTTCATGATGAAATGAAAACTCAACAAGTGTAACTGTAAACTCTTAAATCTTCCGCTCTCATAGCCTCACAGCTCGTGTAAACATTTCCCTTCATGAAAAGGGGACAGGAAAAGGAAGCTAAATATCCAAAGGAAAGTATTTGGGGTTTTAATAATGATTGCAGCGCTAGAAAATTTAAAATATGCTACATGAGAAAAACGGGATGATTATTCATCGCAGTGGCACATAAAAGTTCCCTTCGGCAAGATTGTATTGTAACATAATAACTATGCAAAGGAATTTCAAACATTTTTCTTTAAATTGTCAACAAGGAAAAAATTGAAGTTGTCCACGAACACGAAGCCACGTCTACGACCAACAGAAGTTTGCACTCACATTTTTACACACTGGATATTTTCAATCTCGCTCGGAATCGCTTCGGTCATCAAAATTTTTAGTTTGTGTTACCTTTTTAATCACTCCTCAGGGTTTAACAATCAGTTAGTTTTATGAAAACATTCATCCGCTTGATTTGTTGCCCATTTAAGGCATGTTTACATTGCCAGTTCAACAATCTTTCCCTAAAAGTATCATAGTGCCACTCAAAAAACTTTCATATTCACTCAAACTAAACTCGATTAATAACAATTCTGACCTTGGTGCAATAGCATGTCTCACACTTAACTGCCCTTTAATATCTTTTTAAACATATGTAGTATATTCTAGTGAACAAATAACTGGGATAGCCACGAAATTAAAAAATACATGCACTTATGTTCTAAAGTTCACTTGTCTTACGCTTAACAGCAGTACTGGTAACCTTTTGAACATGCAAGCGCGGTATATATACTTGAAACAGGGTTTGTTGCTTCTCAAACTAGCACAGCATATAATGATTAAAGTGTAAATGACAGACTCCGAAACAAAAACATTGCATTCATGTCTACTCAAAAAATTGATCGACTTTCTAGTTAACGGGAAAAACTTAATTACTCCTCAAAAAGCGTAGTGTATACTGCTCAACGAGTAATGAAAAAGATAAGAAATTTCAAAACACACTTATTTCCACTCAGAGTAAAAACTTTAGCACTCACAGTTCTTACTAAGATTAGTTTGTGTCACACTTTTACACACTCTTAAACAGGCGCCGATTTAGCCCGACTCAGGATGACGGCTAATGCTTGAAGTAGTCTGATGGTTCCTTAGGTGGCGTTTGGCTGTATGTGATCGCAGTCTTACGACTGAAGAAGTTTATATTCTCTCCAAAGCCCATTTGAAACTGCCAAACGTACAGCTTGGAATTCGGTGGGATTTTCAGCTTCAGGGTTTCTTCTTCTTCAGTGGTTACACTCCACTTGAGCTGCTCTGTGTCGACCATCTTTCCGCCAAACTTCCCGTCGAGGCTATATTGAACTTTACAGAGACCTTTAATCAATTCTGAAGCTTGGACTTTGATTCCAACTTCTTCGCTTACTCCCATCTCGATGGACCATTCCAACTCTATGGAGGACATTTTGCTCCTGTCAAATCCAACAGTTTTCTTGATTTTTTTTTCCCATTCACTGGCAATGTTGGTGTCGTTTTCAATACATTTTACTTCTTTCCAATTCCCGAACGCTTTTCCATGGATGTGCGCCATACCACCGGGGAGAAACTTGAGTACTGACTCGTGAACGGTGACGTTGTCAGCATCCTTGTTCAAGTTCATGTTGGTGCTTCTGTGATAGGTGACACCCCATTTTCCAGCCTGCTTCAGACAGTAGACATAATTCTTGGTACCCCAGTAATAGATGCCATCTTGGAACGCTTGGTGGATTTTATATTCAACGGCGTCTTCATCTTTGTTCATATTTCTCACTCGTCTGTAGGTGCCTCTCTTGGCAAACACGATGTACCAATTACCAAAGGCAGAGTAGTAGCTGCTTCCTCCGCGACAGTTGCAATGAAGAGAGTAAACCACAGCGTCCTCGTCTTTACTCAGCTCGGTCACTCTGCGATACTCATCTCCTTTAATGATGTAGAAATAAGAGTCAGTGGCCAAGTAGTGATCACCCCATCTACAGGCCTCACTTAAACGATGAATCTTGATACGTTTTCCAGTGTGAATATCTTCGCAACTCATGTAGACACCCACATCAGAACGGATGATATAGAAGCTTTTTTTAGTACCACAAAAGTCTATTCCTCTAGCCTCAGGTGCACTCTTTGGCACGATCTCCGGATAATCTGAAGCGGCCGACATATTTTTCAATCAGTAGTTGCAGCTGAAATAACGTTTCTTCTTGAGTATCTGCAAAGAAGAAAAATAAAGCAAAAAGACCGAGCTTTAATGGACGTTGACTTCGATTCTCGCTTGATCGTTAGTGGAGGGAGGGGAAATAGAATAGGGCAATATTTGCGTGAGCGGTCTTAAGTATACATTTCCCATCACGTCGAATGGGCCATTTGGGAACATATGGGAATATTTTTTTCGCACTGGACTGTTTTACTCTCCCTCGGAATCACCACATTCCAAACACCGGTTTGTTTGCGATACTCTTTAATCATTCCTCAATATCTTTTGCAACGATTCATCGACATAAAACATGCATCAATTGCCGTGTTAAAAAGATGACTACTTGATGATATATCGCTAACGTGATACAATCGCCTTTGCCATGATGCCATCACATCTATCAAATTGCAGCTGTCTATTGGCGTCTAAAACTGCCTTGAAAGTCGGCATATAAATCATTCCTGCCAATTGAAAGAGTCTAGCACCGACACTCCACTTACATTTTTTTCGCTTTCAGCTTCTTCAAAACAGATTCCAGATTATCTACAAGAGCCAGGAAAAATTGTTGAAAGTTTGTACTGACGGATGTTAATCAAACTAATCAGATGTCTCGAACTTGGAGTGGACTGTCTGAGTTTTTACTTTTACAATTTTTCCGCACTGGTCTGAATGTTTCACTCTCGCATAAAATCACCACAGTAAAAAAACTGCTTGTTTGTGATACACTTTTATAACTAACCCTCAGTATCAGTAGCCAAAGAGAAAATGATGGGACTTGAAGACTTAGCAGCCTTGTTAACAACATAATCATGAATATCACATAGGCATATGTGGATAAAAACATAACTAAAATAAAATAACTACATAAAAACTTGGATAAAAACGCCGCGTAATCGGGCAAATGCGTGTAGTAACTCGTCCGGAAATTGTCTAATTGTCTCAGTAAAGATTCCCGAATACGAAAAACATCTCACCCCCCTTCCACGGCACAAAGCTGACAAAATTCAAATATGATTTAACAGTAAAGACGCCCATTGCAATGCAGGTAAAGATTTGCCTAACTTTGGTTAGATATTCTTACCTTTCCTACTTTAAAAGCTTCCAGACTTCAGATACATGTTCTCTCTCAAAGAGATGCAAGTCAATGACGAAATACCCTGCTCAATCGATAAAACTAAAAAAAAAAGTCAGGCTATTATAATATTTCCGGTATTATCCTTTTCGGCATCATTCATTGTTTCCTTTTGTGAATGGACAATACTATTCCACCAATTACTTTTATAAGATAGCTAGTAAATTTGTCCAATCAAATTCAATTGCATGAGCGTGCTTCATATTCCTACTGTGCACGCTCATGACGTCAGCAAACAAATCCCTAGAGAAAAAAATTTTCCCCGCGATTTCTTATTTTTATTTTTTACTTTTTATAAAGTTCATTTACACGCATGAATTCACCTGTCAGTTTTTTGACCAATCTAAGACAAGATCGTTTACAGCGTTGCGAAATGTCTTTCTGAAACAAAATTATCAACGCGCTGAAGAGTAGCAGAGGGAATATTAATAATAGTAATTGCACTGAGTGGAGTGCAATTTGGGCTGGAATCATACTTGTGATTTCAAAATCGAACGAACGCGCAGCGCTCGTTCAATTTGAAATCACACGTATGATTTCAGACCAAAATTGCACGACACACGACACACGACACACGACACACGACACGAGGTTCAATTACCACTTTATTACATCAATTTTGAAATCGCCAAAATACAGGACGTAGTCAGTTCAAATATTTTATTGATGCAGTACTGAGCCGGTCTGAAATTAAATTCATGTCCATTTTGTTTGGAGAAAAAGTAAGAGTTAAGAAACAAAAGTTCATTTTCCTGCAAATTGATCGGTTACTTTAAACAAGCCTTAAAATCTGATTGGTTGTTTTGTTTTTAATGAAGCCTCCTAATTGGCTGGGAAAAAGATGTGATTTAAAGCAAAAATGGTGCGATGCGTGAATAAATCGTATCAACTAGAGCCAATCAGATTACAGGGACCACCAGTGATTTCAAAATGAGTGTAATAAACCCTTTTTTTTTTCAACCATGATATGAAGCACTTGGGAAGTTTGGAAGGCACTCAATAAGCTTGAGATTCTCTCGGCTACGCCTCGAGCAACTCTTACGCATCTTTCGTGATCTCCAAACTTCCCGCGTGCTTCATATCTCCCTGTACGCATGCTAACGTATGAACCAATTGTTAAACGTGACTGGTATGTTTTTTAAAATATTTCACCGCAATTTCTCAAAGTATTGTCAATGCAAGTTTTAAGATTTAGTAATGCGTATTAAGGGATTTCAAAGTTTTATCAAAGAAACATGATTGCGGTTTTGGAGATGTTATTTTGCTTCTTAATCGGCCCTGACCACTAAATTTCTTTGAAGCAACCAGTCATTTGAAAAAATATTACGCAATCAAATAAGGGTAAGTCGCTAAAAAAAACCGTGGTGCTGCGTCGGTGGGGGGGGGGTGTAACGATGTTATCTATCTCGGCAACTAATGGTTTAAGCCGTAATTATTTTTGTAAAGGAAATCAAGTGCTTTCGCCACTATTTTCTCTATCCAAAAACTGTATGCATAATAAAGAATGAGGAAATTTTGTCCAGCTCTCCAAATGCAGGAGTCAGTAGAGTCCCTTGAACGATATTTTGTCAACAGAAAATCAGAACACTTTCATTTATGTTATTTTGTTAAGTTTCTTCTTTGTATTGTCTTATTCAGGAGACTGGCAGCGTTCATTTGGTAATTATCTACTTTAAAAGATCCCCATGAGTGACTTTTTTGTCCCTGATTGCAGACCGGAAAGTCATTTGTGAATATTTCTGTAGAGCTGTTTTTGAGCGGGGAAGAAAAAATAGGGCATAGTGTCCTTTGTTTTCAACAATGTGCATCACTTCGGAGAAGTATTCAATCTTTCAGTCCATTTGAACCTCAGGAGTTACATTTCCGCGCATAATTAATTGAGCTGTGTTATGGTGTTCTGTTAATCAACGTTTTACCTTCATCGCTTAACTCGACCGACAAAATGCAATGCCGTTAAGTAATTAGATTCCTTAAGGTGACTTATTGTGAAGAAGCCTAAACTTACGTATGAACCTCCATCACTTTTAATCCTTTGTTGGTTTAGTCGCGCCCAAACTGTACACTGTGCACACCAACGCGTAGTGGATTTGCAAATCAAGTGCTTCCCTTGAAGTTTGGTCTGAAAAGGATTATGGATATTTACAACCTGGGTCTAAAAATGGTATTTTCTTTTCTGAAATAAGGCTAAGATATGGAGAGCTGGTCGCGCACCCTTGTCAAAAGTTACAATGAAAGCACACCCCGAGACATCTCTCTCGCGTTTTTGATTTTTTAATCGTTACACGAGCTCAAAATGTTTCTTTCCGTTCTTTTGTTTGAAAGATATTGAGAATGATCCCCATTAAACTGGTTAGGTGGAAAATCAAAAATATTGACAAACGAACGTGGAAGAAGTGGACCGTGATGCGGTATTGAAATGCAGAAAATAATCGAAACGAGTGATATTTATAGAACATTCTGGGTTGTTCGTAATGACTATTTTCGCTTCAAGGATTGTTTATCGTTCGTATAAAACTGTTTCAAAAATACTTCACCATGAAACGCGTAAAGGTGTTGTAAGAATGCAGAATGGTATTTCGATAACAGCAGTTTGCAGATGTTTGGAGGAACGGAGGTACTGGAGTAGGTGTCTTCATTCTTTGATGATCCGTTGACCAGAACTACTACTAATATTTGTGACTGTTACGTTTCAAAATTCCCTAAAGTATTGTCATTCACATTTCAAGAAAAGGTTACGGAATTTTAAGGTTCTGTCAAAGAAAATTGAATTTCCATATTTGATAGGCCCCAACCACCACAATTCTATTTTAGAAGCTGGTGAACATTACAGAACTTTAATACACTTTCCCTAATGTTATCTCGATTTCATCTTTCCAATAAAAAAATTAATTCTTCTTTAGAGAGACTCGCAGTCTTCTCCTGGAAATGTTCTCATTACGATTGGCTTTGTCGAATCGCGAACCGTCTAAATAATTTCCTTTACTTTTTGAAATTACGTTAAAGCGATGTGTTGACGTTTTCTTTCATCGTAAGTGTTTGATTTGACTAAAACGGCGCCAATGTCTTGAACATTTAGGATTCGCTGACTACAGAAGAGAGTAAATTATCTCTCCCCAACACGCTAATAAAAATATTAGCTTTATAGGAATTTCCTAATTTGTTGAACGTATTTTTTTAGTACTCTAGAGATCTCGTTTTGTATATTTACCACAACTGTTTACCACGTCCTGGTTGCCGTCGTCGTTTGCATTCTGATAACAGGACTTCGTGTCGTCCAATTCTGTCCGTAAACATATACGAGTGATTTAAAACAAATTCACATTCATTCAAAGTAAACTCAATTAGTAGCTATTCTGACCTTGGTACAATCGCATGTCTCACACTTAACTGTTCTTTAATATCCTTTTAAATAGGTGCAGCATGTTTGAACCAATGAGGGTAACCACGAAATTAAAAAATATATGCACTTATGTTCACTTTAAACACTCGATCTATCGCGTTTCAAACAAAGTTCACTTGCCTTACGCTTAACAGCAGTACTGATAACCTTTTGGACATGTCAGCACAGTATCTATATAAATCAAAGAATAAATGACCATAAAAAAACACTCTGAGGAAAGCACACAAAAAAAAAGTTTACTCGTGTTATACTTAATGCAGTATATTAATTGATTCTCAAAACACGTATTGTCTGCTGCTCAACGATTAAATGAAAAAGATAAGAAATTTCGAAACACACTTATGTCCACAGATAAGAAATTTCAAGACACACTTATATCTACTCAGAGTAAACTTACGCACTCACAGTTCTCATACTGAGGTTCGTTTGTGTCACTGTTTTAAACACTCTTAAACAGGCGCCGATTCAGCCCAACTCAGGATGACGGTTAATGCATAAAATACTTTAATGTTTCCTCAGGTGGTGTTTTACCGTATGTGATCGCAGTGTCACAACTGAAGAGGTTCTTCTTCTTTCCAAAGCCCATTTGAAACTGCCAAACGTACAGCTTGGTGTTCGGTGGAATTTTCAGCTCAACGTTTTCGTCTTCTTTAGTGAGGTCACTCCACTTGAACTGCTCTGTGTTGACCATCTTTCCACCAAACGTCTCTTTGAGGCTATACTGAACTTTACAGAGAGCCTCAATCAATTCTGAAATTTGGGCTTTGATTCCTACTTCTTCGCTTATTCCCATCTCGATGGACCATTCCAACTCTATGGAGGACATTGTGCTCCTGTCAAATCCAACGGTTTTCTTGATGGTTTTTTCCAATTCAATGGCGGTGTCGGAGTCATTTTGAAGACATTTTACATCTTTCCAATACCCGAACACTTTTCCATGGGTGTGCGCTATACCACCAGGGATAAACTTGAGCACTGACTCGTGAACGCTGAAGTCACCGCAATCTTTGTTCAAGTTCATATTGGTGCTTCTGTGATAGGTGACACCCCATTTTCCAGCCTGCTTCAGACAGTACACATAATCATTGGTACCCCAGAAATAGATGCCATCTTGGAACGCTTGATGGATTTTATATTCAACTGCGTCTTCATCTTTGTTCATGTTACTCACTCGTCTGTAGGTACCTCTGTTGGCAAACACGATGTACCAATAACCAAAGGCAGAGTAGTAGCCGCTTCCTCCGCGACAGTTGCGATGAAGAGAGTAAACCACAGCGTCCTCGTCTTTACTCAGGTCGGTGACTCTGCGATATTCATCTCCTTTAATGATGTAAAAAAAAGAGTCAGTGGCCAAATAATGATCGCCCCATCTACAGGCCTCACTTAGACGGTGAATCTTGATATCTTTTCCAGCGTGAATATCTTCGCACCTCATGTAGACACCCACATCAGATCGGATAATATAGAAGCTGTGTTTAGTACCACAAAAGTCTATTCCTTTAGCCTCAGATGCACTCTTCGGCACGATCTCCGGATAATCTGAAGCGGCGGACATATCCTTCAGTAGTTGCAGCTGAAACTTTCGTTATGATAACGTTTCTTCTTGAGTATCTGCAATGAAGGAAAATAAAAGCAAAGAGACCGAGCATTAATGGACGTTGACTTCGATTCTGGCTTGATCTTTAGTGGAAGAAATAAGCTTTCTTCTTGAGTATCTGCAAAGAAGGCAATCCAAAGGGAAAATAACGGGTTCCTACTTACGTGAAACAATTAAAATGGTGCAAGACCCTCTCTTTCGTAGAGACTGACTGACATATGACCTTTTCATTTTTCCAGCACTGGGCTGTTTTACTCTCGCTCGGAATCACCACATTCAAAAAACCAGTTTGTTTGCGATACTCTTTAATCATTCCTCAATATCTTTTACAAAGATTCGTCGACATAAAACATGCATCAATTGCCGTGTTAAAAAGATGACTACTTGACAATACATCGCTGACGTAAAACAATCGCCTTTGTGATGATGATATCACATCCATCAAATTGTAGCTGTCTACTGGCGTCCTTGAAAGTCGGCATATGAAATCATTCCTGTCAATTGAAAGTGTCTAGCACACTCCACTTATACCTTTTTGCTGTTAGCTTCTTCAAAACAGATTCCAGATGATTTACAAGAGTCACATCGGTCGGAAAATTTTTGCAAGTTTGTACCGATGGACGTTAATCAAACTAATCAGATGTCTCGAACTGGGCAACAATTCAAACAGTCGGTAAATTAAACCTTATTCCAAATAAAAGTTTGTCATGTTATCAAAAGCAATAAACATTTAAATATATACAGAGCAGACTGACTGACTTTTTACTTTTACAATTTTTCCGCACTGGTCTGTATGTTTCACCCTCACATAGAATCACCACAGTAGAAAAACTGTTTGTTTGTGATACACTTTGATAACTCCTCAGTATCAGTAGCCGAAGAGAAAATGATGGGACTTGAAGACTTAGTAGCTTTGTTAACAACATGACCATGAATATCGCATTGGCATATGAAATCACCTTTATATATTGAAAGCGTCTGGTGCATTGCAACACATATTTTGCTACCTTTAGTTTCTCCAAAAAGGGTCTCAAAAGAGCCACCAGAGTCATACAAATTGAGGCAAGTTTATAGGTGAAAGTTAATCCAACCGACTAGATAAAAAGAGAGATTTATTTCTTCCGACACTTGTTTGCTTCAATCTCGCTTAGAATAGTTTTTGTCATCAGAACTGTTAGACCACGTTGGTAATTTATTTGTGATGACTCCTCAGTAATCGTTACAATTAGCTCGCAATATGAAAACGTATGAAGCAGTTAGTTTGCCGAGCTAAAACACTGATGCTTATATTGCCGTACAGTACTCTGATTTGATTAGAGCGCACCCTGTAAAACGGTACCCCCCGCTTAGGAGAACATTAGAATACAGTTGACTTGTCTCCCACTTCAGTGCAGTTTTGGTGCCTTTAAAACATGTGCGGCATATCCCGGTTAACAAGTAGTTGAAGTTACAAAGCAATTTTAGACCACTCTAATGTCAGCCGTGTTAGCTCGAAGTACCGGTCGCTTCGCAGGCAAGCGTAGTATATTGTGGTTAGCGACCGAGTAGATGAAAACGTACGAAATTTGAAAATACACTTATGTCTGGGGGAAGTAAACTCTACAGCAATCACAGCTCTGACTAGAGTTTACTCTTGTCCCACTTAAAAAAAGCTTATAGACAGGCACCAATTCACTAAGCTACACTCTATGCATGACTATTGTGTAAAACAAAGTGATAGTTACTAAGGCTGTTCTCCATCTTGTATAAGCATGATTTAAGGGCTAAATAGATTGTTCTCTTGGTCAAAGCCCAGTTCATACTGCCAAATTGGATCTTTTGGTGAGGCGTGATTTGCATCTTAATCAGGAATTGGATTTCTCAGCGTTGATATTTCATTCTAGCCGCCAATTCTAAACTTTGTTGAATGCTGCATTTCAATCAATGTGAAAGAAACCCACCGATTTAGCTTCTGAAAAAAGCGAAGAGAATAAGTCTCTTTCTGTTGCTAAGTCAAACCAAGTCAGTTAATCTGAACTAAGCAGCTTTTATCTGTTACTTTAAACTCTTACCAAGATAATGAATATCTATCTCTCTTATTCTATCTCTCTCTCGTGTTTCAAATGTTACCCTCAAATCAGCCAATGATCCTCTGCTAAGATTAAGGATGGTATACTCGGAGGGTTCGCCCCTTCTGCTTTAAGAAAATGAACATAAAATTCAAAAGACCCAATGTACCTCGTTGATCTGTTATCTTTGTAGAGATCACGAAGGACAATTTTTTCGCATATCTAAGGGCCTCTTAAAAGATGAAATGATCGTACGTTCTTTAAATTGTTCACAAATATGGAATCGATGAATATACAATAAAAAAAATGTATATGTATCACAGTAAATAGATAAAAAATAAGCAGATTGACGATTGAATGTTTGAATAAAGAAAGATATCTCGCTGAATATTTTGTACAGCGGTAATGCTCCACACACCGTTTCAGACCCCTCTCGGTCTTACTGAATAACTTAAAGCTGATTGCTCACTTAAAACATATAATTTGCAAGAAAATGACAAAGGATACAGCAAGTTACTATGATTTGCTGCCTATGTACCCACTATAAATATCTTCCACTGCCCTTTTGGTTTCTTTAGAAGGTATTTAAGTATTCCTGCTGTGCTTGAAACATGCATGACATACATGAAGTATATAGTGGGTAAGCCTAATCTCGCTCTCTTAAAATGCATTATTTGATGAAAAATCATCTTTACACGAATGAAGGATTACTGGGCCAAGATTTCCCAACCATTTTGTTTGAAAAAACTACAGCTTCCACGTGATCGGGCAAACATGTGTGAAGTAAATCGTCCGGAAAGTGTCCAATTGTTTCAGTTAAAATTCCCGAATCCGAGAAATATCTCACCCCCTATCGACGGCTCAAAGGGGACAAAATTCAAATGTTGTTTAACAGTACAGACGCCCATTGCAATGCAGGTAAATTTTTGCCTAACTTTGGTCAGATTTTCTTACCTTTCCTACGTTGAAAGCGTCCAAACCTCAGACAGATGTTCTCTCCTCAAAGAGAAGCAAGTCATTAGACTTTTATCACGCAGCGCCAGCTTGGATTGCGTGACGCATTAAGTCGAGGCTGGATTAGTCACTACGGCTGGGGGAGTCATAGATTCTGTCGCGTGGCCGAAATTTCTTAAAATATTTCATATTTTGATTCAACTTTCGTCGACAAATGGCTTGAGAACGATGGAAAGGTCCCAAAGAAAGTCGTAACTCGTGGTTACAGCAATTTCTGCGAAGGCTATATATCTTTGATATCGAAGGTAAGTTTTAGTTTTGACGAGTTGTTATTGATGATGCCTCGAGTCTAGGTGAAGGTGGAGAGTGTACTCGAACAGTTGCGTGATTCACGCCACTCATACTATTTTAAAGATCTTACATTGTTCTTATCCTTTGATTATACCCGAATTTACTATTCAAAATCTCCGACGATTTACAAAAATGATGAAATGAAGCCCTAGAAACCACGACTCGTAGCGTGTTCACGTTTTCACACATATGAATTCCTACCTTCCCTTTCAGTGAAAACACTAGAAGCAGGTGTCGTCGTAAGAACTCGAAGCTACAGATCACAGCGGAAAAATGAAGAGCCATGGAGGTTGCAGGTATTTATTTGACCATGTAGTTTTGTTTGAACTGAAAGAAGTCTTAAACTTCGCTTACGTACTAAGGTATATTCAACAAACCCTTTTAAAATTTTTCCATAGGTTGAAATCTGAAGGGCTTGTGAAGTACAAATATCAAACACCTCTTGCAACTGTGAGGCAGGATCAGGAATGTGCAACCATGCAATAGAGTTGGTTTATCTCCTTGAGCACTATCAAAAATTGGGTTTACGAAGTGTACCTCTGCTATGTCCAAGACAAGTTTGCCTCAAAGAATGGCCGGGATAAATTCTCGGGAATTGCAGGAGGTGCTGGTATTGCAGGTGAAACTACCAGCCAAAGGTGGGGAAGTGAAAAAAAAAAAACAACAACGCAGGGTAGATGGATCAATCCCTGGGGGCTGCTGGAAATCAAGTGCCCCCTCAGTGATCCAGTCTCAGAGCTGAAATATCTTTAATGTGGAAATGGACTCTATAAACTCAAACTCTGTGAGTTTGTGTCAGCAGTGAGCTAAGCCATAGTCTATAGTGGGCTTAAGTAAGTTTATTGAGGATAATTACTGTACTGTCTTTTGGAGTCACTCCTAAGTAAGAATATTGTTATGTCATTTAATTAAGTAGTTGAGTTTATAGGAGTTTATACCTCCCTGGACATGGAGGTATTACCATTTTCTGGATCACACAGATTTACAAAAAGAAACTTTCCTTACTGAAATTCAATTGTATTTGTTTTGGTTTATTAAGCACACATTGCAAAGAACCTGCTTAACTTAGTTGAGGTGTCACAAATGTTATTATAGAACCAAGGTTTTCTAAACAAAATTAATAGGAAATTAAAGTTTCAATATAATGGCCCTCTAAAATTAGTCAGAAGGCAGCATATAGTCCAAATTTGGTTTACTGAACCAGCCAGTGAAAGAGGTAAAACTTGTTCAAAAATTTGGTACTCTTTTATTTGCCTGATTTCCCTCTCAGCATGGATATGGAGGTGGGCAATTTGTTGGGTATCAGTCACTTCAGTCTCTAGTGCTGAACTGTAAGGACTTTGCTCTTAACAAGAATGGTGGGATTGTCAAGTTAGCTTTTTTAGTTTCCAATAAATCCTGTATTAAGAAACCCTTATCTGCCATTACCTTGTCTCCATCTGTGACAAGCAACAGAAATCCACTGTGCCTTGTCATTTCTTTGTCTGATATACTTCCCTGATATGAGGAACTAACAAATGTTACTGTGCCATGAGGAGCTATACCAGCTAAGTATTTGAATGTGGTATATGACTTGTATGTGTATGCAAAATTTCTGAGTTCAAGACCTTGGAGCTAGGCCTCTGGACTTTGATCTCAGTGCAGTCTAGGATTATCCTTGTTTTAGGGTATGTGGCTTTGAAGCACTGAGGCATACTCCTTTTAATCTGAGCAGTTGTGGGCCAAATTGGCACTTGGCCAAGCATTGAAACAGAAAATTTGCCCAAGTTATAATAATTCTGCTGACAGTGCTTGTGTTAATATTGAATCTCACTCCTAAGTTTGTCTCCCGCAAGCCTAATCTCAGTCTGACAGTGCAAAATTATCAGTGCCACGCCTTCGCTGGTAGTTTTCTTCACCTCTGCCACGTTGAATCTGGGTTTTATCATGGTTTTAGCATATGGCTCAACCCATTTGTAAAAGCTATCAAATCGTTCTTTCGTTGCAAAGCCTGTGTATAATGCAAGCAACTCCGGATCCTTTGAAATGTTTTCAGCACCAAATTTGGACTCTTAAAAATCTTTGACTTGTTAATCTAGATCTTTGATTCTGGCCATAAGTATTTCAATTTGTTCCTCAGGGCTTATTTCGGCCGGCTGAATGTTTTCGTTTTCCGGTTCGTCCGTGGCCATTCCTTGCATTGGCTCAGCACCAGCCCAAGTTTCCTGCCCTGCTGACTCAGCCTCCTCTTCTTCCATCTCGACATCTTGCTGGAGTGAACCGACCAAGAATTGACGTCGCTCCTATTGTGCTTGCTGGTCCGCAATATTTTTCAATTCTTGCAATTTGTTTTTTCGGCACTCTTTTCCCTCCTTAGTCCATGCAAACTGCGGTTGGCACAACTCCAGGTTTTAGCCGTGTAACCGTAACCCAAGTTATAGTCCCATACATATCCTCTGGCTTGAAGTGAGCCGTGCACACCAGAGTAGAGCCTTTCTTTATCTGGAAAATTTGTTTAAAAGCGTAAGTTATAACGAGAATAAACTAGGGAGGATCTCATTTCTTACATATGACAAAATCCGAGCTAATAAAAACAAACAAAACATAATCATGTGCGTTTGACAGCTTGAGCCAAAAGTAAAATGAAAAACTTAATGTAAAAAGAATAGTAGATTCATTAATCGAATTTAGTGTTATGAATATCAAATGAATAAATATTTTATAGATAAAAAAAACTGCTGGCTGAGTCTTCAATCGAAAGGAAAAGTCGATCGCCAATAACACGTGCATCTGACAGCTAACCGGTCACGACGCGACTCTCACCTCAAAGCGGCAATCTATTTCGATCTCAATAAATCGTTCGAAGGAAAGTTGAAAAAAGATAAATTCTCACCACTTTTATTTCGTTTGTCGTTACTACAGAAATTAACGCAACAATGATCGTGGGCCATCTCCACTCAAAACACTGTAATGTAACACAACGCTAAACCTTAATGCGGGAGTTACTACATCACGGGCGACGCGCGGGGAAGGAAGAAAAGATCGAAATACGATTATATAATAAGCTCAGTTATGCACGCATTCTGATTGGTTCTCACTTATGATCTATTGGAGGACAGACGTATAGATGACGTCATCATTAAAACTTTTTTAATTCTTTATTATATAAAACAAATAGATTCCAAGTTGCCGTGCGTCTGTTCAGTAATAGATCACAGAGGACGTCAAAATGTGGTAAGAACATCAGTGACACACTCGGCTGCGCCTCGTGTGCCACTTTTTTGTTCTTACCACATTTTGACGTCCTCTGTGATCTATTACTGAACAGACGCACAGCAACTTGGAATCTATTTGTTAAGTGGTCAGCGGGTAAACAAATTTAATACCTCATATAGATACATATCAGTTGTAGTTGCAGAAAACAGTAATGGCGCCGATGCCAGGCTTGATTACACTGTGCACACCAACGCATAGTGGATTCACAAACCAAGTGCCACCTTTGAAGTTTGGTCTGAAAAGGGTTATGGATGTTTACACCTTGGGTCTAAAAATGGTGTTCTCTGGTCAAAAATAATGCTAAGATTTGGAGAGCTGGGTGCGCACCCTCGTCAAAAATTACAGGGAAAGCACACCCCTGGACATCTCTCTCGCGTTTTTTAGCTCGTTACACGAACTCAAAATGTCTCTTTCCGTTCTTTTGTTTGCAATATACTGAGAATAATCCCAAAGAAATTGGTTGGGTGAAAAATCATAAATTTTAACTAACGAATTTGGAAGAAGTGGACCGTAATACGGTACTGAAATTCAGAAAATGATCGAAACGAGTGATATTTATAGAAAATTCTGGGTTGTTCATAATGACTATTTTAGCTTCAAGGAATGTTTATCGGTCGTACAAATCTGTTTCAAAAATACCTCACAATGACCGATTTGGACTCCAGTCATTCTTATTTATGTTATTAATTTAAGATCGTGTTAAGCGTTTTGTTTTAAGGTAAAAAAAAAAAAACAATATAATTATGTCTAAGATAATATTTGCATGAGCGTTACGTGATAAGAAGTGTTTTGTTAATCAAACTAGTCAGATTTCTCGAACTGCGCAACAACTCAGACGTTTGTCGTGTACTTAAAAGCAAAAAGCTCATTCTGTGATATATAAAGCGGTTTATTGGCATATTTTTTCCTTCTACAAAATTTTTTATTAATTGAAGCTTAATGTTTTTATCAATTAATTCGTCCGCACCAATCAATTTCGTCATCTGCAAAAAGTACAACGACTGAACGATGAAATGAAAATTTCAAACTCTTAAATCTGCTGCTTTCATAGCCCCACAGCTCGTGTAAACACTTCCCTTCATGAAAAGGGGACAGGAAAAGGAAGCTAAATATCCAAAGGAAAAATACCAGGGGTTTTCATATCATGAATGCAGCACTACAAAATTTAAAATATGCTGCACGAGAAGAACGGGATGATTATTCATCGCAGTAGCGCATTAAGTTCCCTTCGGTAAGATTGTATTACAACATAATAACTATGCAAAGGAATTTCAAACATTTTTCTTTTGATTATCCATAAAATTTTAGTAGTCCACGAACACGAAGCCACGTTTTGCTGCGACCAAAAGAAGTGTTGCGCTCACATTTTTCCACACTGGATATTTCCAATCTCGCTCAGAATCACTTCTGTCATCAAAAGTTTTAGTTTGTGTTACATTTTTAATCACTCTTCAGGGCTTGTTACAATCAGTCAGAGTCACGAAAGCATACATCCGCGTGATTTTTTTCCTAGTTAGAGCATTTTTATATTGCCAGTTCAATAATCTTTCCCTAATAGTATCATAGTGCCACTCAAAACACACTCATATTCACTCAAAGTAAACTCGATTGATAACAATTCTGACCTTGGAACAATTGCATGTTTCACACTTAACTGCACTTTAATATCTTTTTAAACAGTTGTAGTATATTCTAGTGAACAAATGACTAGGGTAACCACGAAATGAAAAGATATATATTTACTTACGTTCACTTTAAAACACTCGATCTGTCGCGTTTCAAACAAAGTGCACTTGTCTTACGCTTAAGGGAAGCTGGTAACCGTTTGAACATGTAAGCGCAGTATATAATATATAGATTTAGCCAAGCCTAAAAGCGGAGCTCGCATTTTTTTTTCCGCACGTCTCAAGGGCAGAACGCCTTGCTCCTGCCAGGACTAGAACCCAGGTCGTCCGACACGGAGCCCAGTGCACTGAAAACTGGACTACTGGACAAAGCCGTGGCGTTGGCGTGCCCGCGGTACAGTTGACCACGCATGTTAAAAGTAGCATCTTGTACGGTCATACGGTCGTATGGTTGTACGGTCGTGGGGTCGTAGGGTCGTAGGGTCGAACGGTCGTACATCCAAATTTTTTCGGCTTGATGGGTTACTACTATTTTGTATAATTATGGGGCTACGCTCTGCGAGCTCCGCTATTATTCTAGGAATAAATGATCATATGAGACTTTAGTTAGCGGAAAAAACTTAATGCAGTATATAATTAATTCTCAAAAAGCGTGGTGTATACTGCTCAACGAGTACACGAAAAAGATAAGAAATCTCAAAACACACCTATCTACACTCAGAGTAAACTTTAGCATTCACAGTTCTTACCAAGGTTCATTTGTGTCACACTTTTAGATGCTAATGCTTAAAGTACTCTAATCGTTTCTCAGGTGGTGTTTCATCGTATGTGATAGCAGTGTCAAGACTGAAGAGGTTATTCTTCTCTCCAAAGCCCATTTGAAACTGCCAAACGTACAGCTTGGTATTCGGTGGGATTTTCACCTTAACGGTTTCTTCTATTTCAGTTGTGTCACTCCACTTGAACTGCTCTGTGTTGACCATCTTTCCACCAAACGTCTCCCTGAGGCCATACTGAACTTTACAGAGACACTCAATCAATTTAGAAACTTGGGCTTTAATCTCCTTTTCTTCGCTTATTGTCGTCTCGATGGACCATTCAGACTCTATGGAGGACATTGTGCTCCTGTCAAATCCAACGGTTTTCTTGATGGTTTTTTCCCATTCAATAGCAGTGTCGGAGTCGTTTCGAAGACATTTTACTTCTTTCCAACACCCAAACACTTTTCCATAGGTTTGCGCCATACCACCAGGGAGGAACTTGAGCACTGACTCGTGAACGCTGAAGTCTTTGCAATCTTTGTTCAAGTTCATGTTGGTGCTTCTGTGATAGGTGACACCCCATTTTCCAGCCTGCTCCAGACAGTAGACGTAATTCTTGGTACCCCAGAAATAGATGCCATCTTGGAACGCTTGGTGGATTTTATATTCAACGGCGTCTTCATCTTTGTTCATGTTACTCACTCGTCTGTAGGTGCCTCTCTTGGCAAACACGATGTACCAATTACCAAAGGCAGAGTAGTAGCCGCTTCCTCCGCGACAGTTGCAATGAAGAGAGTAAACCACAGCGTCATCGTCTTTACTCAGGTCGGTAACTCTGCGATACTCATCTCCTTTAATGATGTAGAAATAAGAGTTAGTGGCCAAGTAATGATCGCCCCATCTACAGGCCTCACTTAAACGGTGAATCTTGATACGTTTTCCAGTGTGAATATCTTCGCAACTCATGTAGACACCCACATCGGAACGGATGATGTAGAAGGTTTTTTTAGTACCACAAAAGTCTATTCCTCTGGCCTCAGGTGCACTCTTTGGCACGATATCCGGATAATCTGAAGCGGCGGACATATTTTTCACTCAGTAGTTGCAGCTGAAATAACGTTTCTTCTTGAGTATCTGCAAAGAAGAAAAATAAAGCAAAAAGACCGAGCTTTAATGGACGTTGACTTCGATTCTCGCTTGATCGTTAATGGAGGGAGGGGAAATAGAATAGGGCAATATTTGCGTGATCGGTGTTAAGTATACATTTACCATCACGTCGAATGGGCCATTTGGGAACATTTGGGAAGATAATTTTTCGCACTGGGCTGTTTTACTCTCGCTCGGAATCACCACATTCCAAACACCGGTTTGTTTGCGATACTCTTTTAATCATTCCTCAATATCTTTTACAAGGATTCATCGACGTAAAGCATGCATCAATTGCCGTGTTAAAAAGATGACTACTTGATGATATATCGCTAACGTGATACAATCGCCTTTTTCATGATGCCATCTCATCTATCAAATTGTAGCTGTCTATTGGCGTCTAAAACTGCCTATGAAATCATTCTTGTCAATTGAAAGAGGCTAGTACACTCCACTTAAAAACTTTTTTGCTGTCAGCTTCTTCAAAACAGATTCCAGATGAGCCAGGAAAAATTGTTGCAAGTTTGTACTGACGGATGTTAATCAAACTAATCAGATGTCTAGAACTTGGCAACAATTCAAACAGTCAGTGAATTAAAGCTAGTTCCGAAAAAAAATTTTTCCTGTAATCAAAAGCGATAAACATTTATACATATACAGTGCGGAGTGACTGAGTTTTGACAATTAGAATTTTTCCGCATTGGTCTGTATGTTTTACTCTCGCTTAAAATAACTATAGTAGAAAAACTACTTGTTGTTTTTTACATTATTGAACTATTTGTTTGTACATTAAAATAACTATAGTAGAAAAACTACTTGTTTGTGATGCAATTTGATAACTCCTCAGTATCAATAGTCAAAGAGAAAATGATGCATATCAAACTTTGGTTCGGATTTTGGCTGGACAATAAGTCAAGCTTCAGCTCATTTTATGTTCTCATCTATTGTTTGAAGGAAAGGGTTTCCATTGTTCGCAAGACAAAGGTTTTTCTGACAAAAAAAACTTATGCAAGTCACTACCACATATCTTTAATTTCAATCAGTCGAGAAACTTGCGTTTCATATAATGCCTTCTGTGGTATATCGTTCCGTGGCGGAAAACTTCAGAGGTTTGTTATCAGATGTAGGCGGGAGAAAACCTTGTAAATAAAGATCATCACGTTCAAGTACAAATATTAATTGAGTGACTAGGAGGCGAAACTTGACATAGGAATAGAAAATAGGGTAATTTGGCTTGTGCAACCAGAGAAAGATTTGAATCGCAGCGTTGAAATTTGATGAATTTTGCAACCGGAAATTTGATAAACGCAGGATTCTATTTAAAACTGGTTTTGTAGAACGCCCGAGGTATGCGTTTATTATTCTGCGGAGTTGGATGGTTACCATCATTCTGGATTTCTCCGTGACTCAAGCTAAGTCAAAGTGACTTAGTCCTTTTCTGTTGACTTTGCCGCGGTACTCACGGTAGTGCCCGTATTTTATGTAACTTTAGTATTTCCAATTTGTCATGGCATCAACTTGTTCAAAAGTTGAATCTCCATAACTCTCCATGTTAAGTAAACAATGAACAGCAAACAGCGAGTTTGCTGAAAACCGCAAGGCCTTCAAATATCTCCAAAGCTTCTTGTTTCCTTCTACACTACATGCAAAATCGGACCTAATCAATTATCGTCCGCACCAACCAGTACAATAACTTTATGACAAAATGAAAATAGCAAACTCTTAAATCTTCCGCTCTCATAGCCTCACAGCTCGTGTAAACATTTCCCTTCATGAAAAGGGGACAGGAAAAGGAAGCTAAATATCCAAAGGAAAGTATTTGGGGTTTTCATAATGATTGCAGCGCCACAAAATTTAAAATGTGCTACATGAGAAAAACGGGATGATTATTCATCGCAGTGGCACATAAAGTTCCCTTCGGCAAGATAGTATTCTAACATAACAACTATGCAAAGGAATGTCAAACATTTTTCTTTTAATTATCAACAAGGAAATAATTGAAGTATTCCACGAACACGAACCAACGCTTTGTAGGGAGCAACAGAGGTTTTGCGCTCACATTTTTCCACACTGGATATTTTCAATCTCGCTCAGAAACACTTCAGTCATCAAAACTTTTAGTTTGTGTTACAGTTTTAATCAGTCCTCGGGGTTTGTTACAATCAGTTAGAGTTACGAAAGCATACATCCGCGTGATTTTTTTCCTAGTTAGAGCATTTTTATATTGCCAGTTCAACATTTTTTCCCTAATAGTATCATAGTGCCACTCAAAACACACTCATATTCACTCAAAGTAAAATCGATTAGTAACAATTCTGACCTTGGAACAATTGCATGTCTCACACTTAACTGCACTTTAATATCTTTTTAAACAGGTGTAGGATACTCTAGTGGACTAATGGAGGGTAACCACGAAATTCAAAAATATATGCACTTATGTTCAATTTAACATACAACACATTAACTTATGTTCGGGTTTCAACAAAAGTTCACTTGTCTTACGCTTCACAGCAGTAATGGTAACCTTTTGAACATGTACGCGCGGTATATATTATTCTAGGAGTAAATGACCATAAAAACACCCTTAGGAAAACACACTCATGTCTGTTGAAACGCGAACATAAGTTAATGTGTTATATGTTAAAGTGAACATAAGTGCATATATATTTTTTTAATTTCGTGGTTACCTCTCATTAGTTCACTAGAATATACTGAAAATTGATCGACATTAGTTAAAAGACTAAAATTGACTTGTCTCATACTTGAAATGGGGTTTGTTGCTTCTCAAACTAGCACAGCATATAATGATTAAGGCGTTAATGACACATTCAGAGACCGAAAAAATTGATCGACTTTAGTGAACAGAAAAATGTTTGCTTTTGTTGTACTTAATGCAGTATATTAATTGATTCTCAAAAAACTTATTGTCTACTGCTCAACGATTAAATGAAAAAGATAAGAAATTTCATAACACACTCATGTCTATTCAGAGAAAACTTAAGCACTAACAGTTCTTACTAAGGTTCGTTTGTGTCACACTTTTAAACAGGCGCCGATTCAGCCCGACTCAGGATGACGGTTAATGCATGAAATACTCTAATGTTTCCTCAGGTGGTGTTTTACCGTATGTGATCGCAGTGTCATAGCTGAAGAGGTTCTCCTTCTTTCCAAAGCCCATTTGAAACTGCCAAACGTACAGCTTGGTGTTCGGTGGAATTTTCAGCTTAACGTTTTCGTCTTCTTCAGTGGTGTCACTCCACTCGAACTGCTCTGTGTTGACCAACTTTCCCCCAAACCTCTCTTTGAGGCTATACTGAACTTTACAGAGGGCTTCAATCAATTCTGAAACTTGGGCTTTGATTCCTACTTCTTCGCTTATTCCCATCTCGATGGACCATTCCAACTCTATGGAGGACATTGTGCTCCTGTCAAATCCAACGGTTTTCTTGATGGGTTTTCCCCATTCAATGGCAGTGTCGGAGTCGTTTTGAAGACATTTTACATCTTTCCAATACCCGAACACTTTTCCATGGGTGTGCGCTATACCACCAGGGATAAACTTGAGCACTAACTTGTGAACGCTGAAGTCGCCGCAATATTTGTTCAAGTTCATGTTGGTGCTTCTGTGATAAGTGACACCCCTTTCTCCAGCCTGCTTCAGACAGTAGACGTAATTATTGTTACCCCAGAAATAGATGCCATCTTGGAACGCTTGGTGGATTTTATATTCAACGGCGTCTTCGTCTTTGTTCATGTTACTCACTCGTCTGTAGGTGCCTCTGTTGGCAAACACGATGTACCAATAACCAAAGGCAGAGTAGTAGCCGCTTCCTCCGCGACAGTTGCGATGAAGAGAGTAAACCACAGCGTCCTCGTCTTTACTCAGGTCGGTGACTCTGCGATACTCATCTCCCTTAATGATGTAGAAATGAGAGTCAGTGGCCAAGTAGTGATCGCCCCATCTACAGGCCTCACTTAGACGGTGAATCTTGATATCTTGACCAGCGTGAATATCTTTGCACCTCATGTAGACACCCACATCAGATCGGATAATATAGCAGCTGTTTTTATCACCACAAAAGTCTGTTCCTTTAGCCTCAGATGCAATCTTCGGCACGATCTCCGGATAATCTGAAGCGGCAGACATATTGTTGACTTGGTGGTTGCAGCTGATATAAGCTTTTTCCTTGAGTATCTGCTAAGAAGGCAATCCAAAGGGAAAAGATCGGGTTCCTAGTTACGTGCAAAGAAACAATTAAAATGGCGCAAGACCCTCTCTTTTGTAGAGACTGCCTCACATATGACCTTTACATTTTTCCAGCACTGAACTGTTTCACTCTCGCTAGGAATCACCACATTCAAAACACGGTTTGTTTGCAATACTCTTTAATCATTCCTCAATATCTTTTACAACGATTCATCGACATAAAACATGCCTCAATAACCGTGTTAAAAAGATGACTACTTAACGATACATCGCTAACGTAAAACAATCGCCTTTGTCATGATGATATCACATCCATTAACTTGTAGCCGTCTGTTGGCGTCTAAAACTACCTTGAAAGTCGGCATATGAAATCATTCCTGTCAATTGAAAGAGTCTAGCACACTCCGCTTACACTTTCTTTACTATTAGCTTCTTCGAAACAGATTTCAGATGATTTACAAATAAAAGTTTGTCGTGTAATCAAAAGCGATAAACATTTATACATATACAGAGTGGACTGACTGAGTTTTTACTTTTACAATTTTTCCGCACTGGTCTGTATATTGTGTAAGCATGATTTAGGGGCTAGACTCTTCTCCTGGTCAAAGCCCAGTTCATACTGCCAAATTTGATCCTCCGGAGGGGCGTGATTTGCATCTTAATCAAGAATTGGATTTCTCTGCGTTTATATTTCATTCTAGCTGCCAATTCTAGACTTCATTGAATGCTGCATTTCAATCAACGCGATGGAAACCCGCCGATTTAGCTTCTGAAAAAAGCGAAGAGAATAAGTCTCTTTCTGTTGCTAAGTCAAACCAAGTCAAACTCTTACAAAGATAATGAATATCTATCTCTCTTATTCTATCTCTCTCTCGTGTTTCAAATGTTACCCTCAAATCAGCCAATGATCCTCTGCTAAGATTAAAAATGGTATAGATCTTTCGGTCGAAACTGGCGCAATAAATTATCGATTGGCTTACTCAACTTCATGCTGTGAATTTTTTAATGAGTAAAATTTTGTTATGTAAGGGATTTCTCCCCAAAATTCGTCCTCCTTTTGCGAGTGCGTCTTAGCAGCTTCTTCTGCGTACCACATTAGTCCAACTTAGACCGCGTGCGTCGGACACAATAATGAATTATAGCAGCGAATTCATGAATCACTGAAGAGGCTGTTTTTCTTGGCTCCAGTCGCATGGAACGAGACTTAAGAAAGGATAGGTAAGCAAAAGAAATTTGCTTAACAACACGTTTTGCAACTTTACATATACAAACTTGACCGCTCCATTGATCTTTGTTCGTATCTTACATTGCAGAGAAGGATGTGAGACGTGAGGTGGCTCTCCCATACGCCCGGTGGCTTCCTGGGTCTCTTCGCCTTCTAGCTATAACCGCTGTAAATTTTTTTTTGTATTCTGTAAATAAGGCTAATAAAATATGATGACGATTGTTGCGATGGCCAAGATCTCCTTGCCATTGCCCAGGATGCAGACGAAGCAAGGTTGCTTCCCTGTTATAAAAGAGCGTCTAAAGTTTAAGAAATTGATTGCAATGAACGCTGAACCTGGAGATGACACAAGTTCTTCGTCTGTACGATAATTACAGATAATTTGACGCATGGTTCGCCTTTTCTCCTGAGCCTTATTGAGTCTCAGCGGTTTCACAACTCAGGTCATGGGTTCTAATTATGGCGCCGAGAGCTAGAGACGCTCTAGTTTGAATACTGCGTTTGCACAGGATGGACTTTACTTATTTCAAGATTCTCTGATTTTAGTGTCTCTCACTC